TGACTCTGTGTAGCTACACGACTGTGGGCCGTAGTGGCTCAGTATATAGGGCACTCTGACATTTTTTACACCAGACACTCTGAGAGCAAAAAGCAAAATTTCCCATGTCCTAAACTCTCGCTCTATGACCATCGCTTATGAACAGTGAAGTGCACTAATGTTGATGTCGTAAATCGCACACACGTCGACAGCTAACTAATACCACTTCTCGCGCCCACGCCCATAAAGGACTGATTCCACTTTTGCTGATAAAGATATCCGACTTTGGTCCTGTCTGAGACGTGTTTCTAGAGAAACTACTATAGAGAGGGAGTGGATGGAGAGATGGAGAAACTCCCTGTCAAGTGGATGGCCCAGAGAGTCTCAGCGATGGACACTTCTCTGAGAAAAGTGATGTGGTAGGCACTTTGTGTTTGTGTACATGAAGCAAGACTCACTCCCTAAAACAAACAGTGGTCGTATGGGGTCACTATGTGGGAGGTGTTCAGTGGGGGTAAGTCCCCCTATCCCGGGACTAATCCCGTCACTCTGGTGCAGATGTTGGAGAAAGGAGAGAGATTGCCAAAGCCATACAACTCTGCATGTTCAGACGAAATGTATGTACTTGCTTTGGAGGAGGCTGAGTATGGGTAATTATTTTTCTCCTAATAATTATTATGTAGTTACACGATGATGCTCACTTGCTGGGAGGCTGTGCCAGACGAGAGGCCTTCTTTCAAGACATTGTACAATAATGCCTCAAAGATTATTGGGGGAATAGCTGGTTATTTGGAAATTGGATTTAACCCCTTCACTGCAGTCACGTCATGCGGAGAAGATGGAGGAAGGGCAACTACTGAGAGTAGTGTCATGCAGGAGGGGAGGAAGGAATAGTAACAGTGAACCGTTGCACTTCTTTTGACTCAGTTAGCTATAAAAATAACTCGCCAAATACAGAGTACCTAGTGGCTTGTGCAATACACAGATTGCTTTTGTCCACCTAGTCATTACGCAATATGAACTGAAAATCACTATTATAGCTGCATGTGGTAGATATTTCTACACTTGTACACAATTGATGTTTTGTCTATAAAAAAAACTGCTGTGTAGCTACTTAAGATGTTTTCATTTCATGCTTGTGTAGCTAAACACACAAAAGTATTTTTGCTACGCTATTCAAAACCATGTCACAAACATGCATTGGAACTCCTCTATAAATCTAGACCCCAACTGGGACATAGTGTTGATGATAGAGATGTGGTGTCTTTATTTGATATTACATGCATTATTGGGGAGAGAAAAGATGTCCTTATATATATATGTAAGAAAAGTGTCCTGATTTAATGGGTGTCATTTTATATAGCTACACCATTGTGGAATACGCAAGGACTGCAAGAAGCTTCTGCCTCTTTTAGTAACATTAACTGTCTTGCCTTAGTGATGTGGTGGCCTTGCCTCCCCAAATCAGTTGTCATCAGTTGATGCATGATCCAAAACAATCAGTTTTGAAGATATATATAACACCGTGAAAACACATGTTCTACTTGATGGAAAACAACAAATAGCTAGCTAGCTACTTCAATCTGGTTGGTTGCCAGTGGAGCTAGACCCAGAAAATAGCCTACCAATATCCCACGTATTACCTACTTCACAAACATCACTGCATGGTGAAGAATCCTCAAACCCTGTTTACATTTTGTAAGAGTGAAGTGTAATTAGCCCTTGGCGCCCATGGGCAGCGAGCCCACTGCTTTTCTGGCACTACGGACTACGAGGCCGCCAATGAGTGTCACCATCGGTTTCAGAACAAAATAAAGGTGGCAATTTTCCTGAAACGACTGCGTTCCAGAGATATGGCATGAAACTGCGTAGGCGAGTGCGATCGCACACGCGCCCCCGCTGGCTGACTACGCTGGCGCGCACGCGTCTTGGTCAGTGTTTTGCCGGGGCATGCGTAGTCTTGTGTCCAGACACTTGGCGCTGGCGGGCGGGAGCGAGCCAACCTAGTCGTTCGTTCGAGCTATAATGATAATTATACGTACCGTCCGTGTAAGTGCGCATGCGCGGCTTGGTTACGCGCTTCTGCATTTACACACACTAGAGCTCCAAGTGTATATTGAGTCAAGCAGGCTTGCTCCACAGGCTCCGTCCATCTGTCAAAAAGTCACGTGTGTGCGTGCATGCGCGTTAGTATTATGATTAAGTGCAAAAATCTTTTCTTCAAAATGAAGGGGATAGCTATAGGGATGGCTTGAAGCACCAAAAAGGAAATTACACAGCAAAGATGCACAAAGCTACATGACACCATCCATAATATTATCTTTGTTCGATATTAAACTTTGCTCATAGACAATAAAACAAAGATATATGGATGGTGTCATGTATATAGCTTTGTGCACCTTTACTGTGTAATGACCCCTTGTTTCTTCCTTTTTATTTTGAAGTGCACTTTTTCCACTATTAACAGCTTATGACAACACTGCATTTTATTGTTACAGTCACTCTGATGTTCATAGGTAGCTATGTTGTAGATAGGCTACCATCGACAAACTCTAACTGTTGAAAGCAGTAGATAATGGGCTGCTAGTGCCTGAAGCAGGGGCTAGATACCATTCACCTCAGTTGCAAAACAATTTGCTCAGACTTTTGTGTGTTTACACATTCGTGATATGAAAACATCTGACGTTTTTATAGGCAAAACATGATCCATTGTGCAGCTACAAGTGTAGAAATGACTACCACATGCAGCTAGCTATAATTTATAGTATATTATATCTTGTGTAATTACTACGTGGACAAATCTATAATAAAAAAAACTTTGTCTGTCTACACAATCATGACATGACAAATGTCAGCAGTTTTTATAGGCAAAACATCAATTGTGTGTGTACAAGAGTAGAAACAAGTGGAAAAATCATTTCTTCAAAATGAAGGGGGATATAGGGATGGTTTGAAGCACCAAAAAGGAAGAAACAAGGGGTCATTACACAGCAAAGATGCACAAAGCTTCATGACACCATCCCTATATCTTTGTCTCATATTAAACTTTGCTTATGAACAATAAAACAAAGATATAGGGATGGTGTCATGTAGCTTTGTGCATCTTTGCTGTGTAATGACCCCTTGTTTCTTCCTTTTTGGTGCTTCAAACCATCCCTATATCCCCCTTCATTTTGAAGAAATGATTTTTCCACTTGTTTCCACTATTTTTAACGGCTTATGACAACACTGTATTTGCAGTCACTCAGATGTTCATGGGTAGCTATGTTGTAGAGATAACTGTAGCTAATGGGCTGCTATATATACCTGAAGCAGGGTGTATAATGCGCAGTGTCTCCAACAAGGACACAATTAGGTTGTGGCTGTAGTGGCGGTTTCATGGGCAGGCTTCAGTAATCAGACTACAATGATAGCTATAACCCGAGGGACAAAGAATAAAGGCTCATTTGTACGCCAGGTGAAGCTCGCGTAACACGGAGCAGTTGCTCCTCGTGCAAATCAACAGCAAAACGCAAGCTAGCCAGTTAGAAATGTGTATACTGACATACAGAAGGCACTGGAGGAGAGACGAGTTCCTCCGCGGGCATCGTGACTTAGTCTGGTTTACGTGCGTGCGCGCGCACCGCATTTGAAACGCCCCCTCCTCTGCGCATGCGGCTCACTGATGCTGAGTTGGCAGCAAATGGCGTTGTTCAGTGACTACCGAGGAAGAGCTCAACGATCTACCGTAGTGACTTGCAGCAAGAAAGAAACGATCTCCCTTCATACGCTTGATATCCGTGCACACCTCCTGCAAATTGGGAGACGTTCTGTAAAAAAATCAACGCTTCAACTTTATTCGGTAAAGAGATGGCGGGTTTACTGAAGAAGAAACCGGAAGATGAAGAATATGATGATGATGACGCGAAATCGCGTAAGAGCGAATTCCCTCGTGGAGAACTGAGGGCACGTAGGAAGTCTTGGGGCATATGTATAGCTAGTATTGGCATCTAGACTGTTGCTAGTGATTTTGAAGCCATAGTGAGTCGTGAGATTTCACTCGTGTCATCCCTATATAGAGCGTCTACCGACGCTCTAATAACTACCACATGCAGCTATAATTATAGACTCTACGCGACTTTCAATTAATCTTGCGTAATTATTTCACAAGCCACTAGGTACTCTATATTTGGAGAGTTATTTTAACTGAGTCAAAAGAAGTGCAATGGTTACTATTCTTTCCTCCTCTAATGGATGACACCACTCTCAGTAGTTGCCCTTCCTCCATCTTCTCCGCATGATGTTTCTGCAGTGAAGGGGTTAAGTGGGCAGTGTATAGCAAGTACATTGGAAGCCACTATGTCTCTTGCTTTAGTTTCTGTCACTGCAACAACTTTTGTAGTGGTTGTGTACGTGCTGTGAATCGGTTCTTTCGTGGAGGTTACCAAAGGCTCCCAGACGCAGCACCACTGATGGTGATGTAAATGACTTGTAGTGGATTAGCCGCATACGAAGACTATAAGTGTTGACTGTTTTAACATCGCACTGTGTTGTACTATGTATTCTAAAGTAAAAGTAGAAAGTAAAATATAAATTTTTGACAAACTAATGTCCCACTGGAATTATTGTGGTGTGTAAAAGAGCAGTGCAACCAGTTGTAACGGTGCAGGTCTTAGTAGTCCAGTAAGCCGGTTTACTCAGAAGTAATTTCAAACACTTGCATTATACAGTGGAACCTCCGATAGGGGACCCTCCAAGTATTATTTGACCTCATAGATAAGGATGACCTCTCTACAAGGAACAAAATCGTTGGCTCCATAGTGTCCCTTGTTAAGAGATTCCACTGTATACCATTGTCAATAAAAGCTTGAAAAGATTATAATTCTACGTACTCCCTCCTAAAAGTAGTCTGTACGTACATACAGTACCTGTCGGGAAGCTAAAGGAGCTGATACAGAAGCAGACTGACCTGGACCCTCGCTACCAGGAGCTGTTCTTTGAGAACCTTCCCTACAAACCAGCGCACCCTGAACCTGCTGCCAAACTGGGATACATTCACGAGCGAGGGTAGATTTTAACAATCAGAGGCAATGTTTGCACCTTATTCTCCATTTGAGAGCTGTTGTCTTATTCTGTATGCATCCCGAAAAACACATCCAGCCAAACTACATGATCTAAGCCAAAAATGTTTCTTTAGTCCTGCCACAAAAATGAATTCTGCTTATAGAGATAAGATCACAAGTTGCTATACAGTGGAACCTCTGATAAGGGATACTCGAGAAAGAGATGACCTCTCTACAAGGACAAATCATTGGTCCAATAGTGTCCCTTGTTCGGAGGTGTACCACTACCGTATATTATATTGATAATACTGGCTTATGCCTACTGTTCAGAATAGCATTTAACAAGGTGGTGGAGTCTCCAGCAAGATTATGGTGAGTTAGGGTGTCTGAGAGGGTAAGGTGACACCAGTATATACTATAGGCTAGGCTAAGTGCTTGTCGTGGAATGTAATTAGCTACCACAAGGGTGACCTTTCCTGAGTATCTGACCCTGATGGCAGAACTACGTACCTAACGCTAAAAGGACTGCACTGAAACACAGGCTTGTTAATTAATTTTCATGGCTGCTGCCTTTGGCTCTCGCTGATCCACGGCTCTGCGAAACTAATGCTGCAGCGCCGTCGCATTTTTGCGCATGCGCACTTACTCCATGCGCAGATCTGACGCTCCAAGTCCAAGCTGCAGTATTCGCTTGGCTACTGACAAACCGTCCGCGTCTCTCTGCGTGCATTTGAGCATGCAGCATTACTCAATCATGCGAGGCTACAACTCCCTGGTCTTATTATGGAAGAACACCCAAACAGCAGCAAGCTCTATTTCAATGTAGGTAACTGATTGGTGCCCTAACTAAAACCATCATGAATATTGACTGCACATATTCATACCACCAAGGACTGCACCACCAACACCTGCAGCAAATCCTTGAAAGTATAGCTAGCTACAAACACCTCGTCTTAGCACACGAATCTGATACAAAATTGTTGGATGGTATAAAATAATTCCACATATTCTCTATAATCTCTAAAACTTGCTACAACCATATCTGCTGTGTTCTAAACACTAAAAACTTCAATGTTGGTGACTCTGAAGATCAGTGTGTCATTCACTAAGTATTCCTTACTCTCTTCAGGCTTGTAGAGATCAGAGTGGGAGATGAATTGCGGATATCCCCACCCATTATCTCTTATGTCACCCTCAGTCACCCTTTCAAAATGTCTGGGATCAGTGTACTGATCAACAATCACCTTCTTACATGATTCTCCTCCCTTTCTCTGGTTGATCAGTTCAACTGTGATTGCTCCTTTAAATGGCCACTTGAGACGAGAATCGAATTCTCCTTTCATCATGTAAATGGCTACACCAACGTAGGTACTGCTATCGCCTTCAGCCCATCCATTCGGAGATACTCCGAGGCATAACTTGTAGCCACCAAAATGAGTGTAAAAGGCATTGCTGCGCCAAACTGTGCCACCACTTCTGAACCGTTCAAAATTATTCATTGGCAATTCCAGAGGTGAGAGGAAAGGTGAAATTTGGGCAACGACAAGCTGTAAATTGCCTACATCGGCTTTTAGCCTTTTGCATTCACTTGCTATCATTTCAAGATGTTCGTCCTTACTGGTGTCAAGGTGTCGTTGCACCAAATCTCGCTTCAGTTTTACCTTGCACCCAGCAAAGGAAAACTTGCATGGAACCTTTGCCTTAGGGCATTCCTCTTCCATATGACGTTGAAGAAACCTACGTTCGATTTTCTCTTCAACCGAGCACTCATAACGGCAAACAAGCGGAAAACGTTGACATATTGGCCAGTGATTGTTAACGATCGCTTTGTGGGTTGATACTTTATCGCAATATACACAGGAAAATGGCCGGTTTTCACAATCTTTAGATCGATGACTTTTGCGATTGCATCGTTGGACGCGTTTACCGCAGTTTAGATCGCATAACACCTGTACGAAATCGCAGTTTCCCTCAGTCGACCCTAATTTCAAATGGCCTTCAAGCTCCACTAACATACCCTTCCATTTGCAACCCGCCAACTTATTCGTGCAACGAACCTTTAGTTGCTCCACTCTGCGTTTTAAATCAGCATCTTCCACCACTACTAGTGGAGCTTTATTGCAAAAACGACAGGGTTTACCGGCGGCCTGATGTTGCTGAGAGACGGCGCGGGAGAGATTTTCCCAGCAGCAAGAAGTCTGGACTGGATCTAGCAATAATTCACTGGTAACAGGACAGAAGAACTCTGCTGGGGGCTTTTCTATGAAATCAAGTTTGCCATCATCCCTCTCAGAAAAAAGAGGCGTATCAACCTATGTGCGATGCGCATGCGCAGGTGTAGTGGGGCAGCGGATGCCCAGTGGTGGTAAAGTTAGTCATTACACATAATTATACTACTTCGTGTATAGCTATAACAGTAAAAAAGTGGCCATGCAAAATTGTTCTTTCAGGGTGTTTGTGTTTTAAATTGGCCGTGAGAGATCAATCGAATCAATCCTCTGGACAAGAATGTGATGATCTCCTACAGCAAAGCCTGTCACCCACAAGTTGTTGGCAGGATTGGCAGGATCAACAATACGTGGACGTGATGGTAGAAGATCCTTGTAGTCAGATCTCTTGTAGAAATCTCCTGGTCTGTCTGCCCAGTATACACTTGTGTGCAGAAATTTATAATACAAGACGAAACTTTGACATAATTATTAGACTTACTCTTTTCTCTCGTCTTTCACAAGAGCCTTTAAAGCTTGAGTGATGCTGTATATTTATTGCTAGTGTTTCAAGAAACTGACACTACAGCATCTGACTTATACCTTTGTGCATTACGCTTGTCGGAGGTCTCATAAGCCCTCACAACCAGCAGCGACAGCAGGTATGACTTTGGTTTTCCCTCCTTGCGTGCTTCCCCACACTCTGTTTCTCCAGGCCTTAGCTCTACGAATGTACTCTTCACAACCTGGAATAATTGGCACCACCAATAAACTATGACGCTACCCTTACAGATAATTCTTACTTGATCTTGCCTCTTGAAAAACTCTCTCTGCCACTTTGAAGCACAAACACTGTAACTGTTCATAAGTAGTTAATAGCTACACTGTAGATGACATGCAACGGTTGAGCTACCTCTTGCGTTCTGCATGTGGAACTTCTCCTCAGAAACTTGTAGAAATCTTCCGGAAGATTCCAGTAAGGGCTAACCAACAAATCAACTTCAATGAGTATCCCTCTGGATATTTTGTAAGAAAACTGCAAGGAGTAAAATTCTGCCCTTTCACCACGGTAGTTCAACTGCACGCCGGGAAAATGCTGTATGAATGCCTTCAGCTGTGATATCCAGTGCTTGAACAGAGTCGGAGACCTTAACACATCCATTCCAGTAAAACCTACATTATACTTCACCATATTCTGCAACAACAGTCAGATGCAAAGCTTTACCTCGAGAGTATACCACCAAGTCAATGTCATAATGACCATGGACAACTGTTCCATCTCCAAGAGAGCCTGCCTCAAGTATCTCACTGACATTGAAGCCTTTAAAGGCCTACAGGACATACAAGTTACATGTTATTATAGCTTCAGCTATAGGCTGATTATACTTTCTGTATATTCCCCCTGCCCCTCAATCATCTGACCTGAATGTGTTTCACAATCCTGTCAACAGCCTGCTTTGCCATAGCAATAGTGGGGTCACCTTCAATAGCAGCCATGAGGACTATTTCCCTGTCAGACTATTGTTTACAACAGCAATAGCAACCCTTTATAGTTTTGCCTGTAAGGTAGTTCCCCAAGGTGATCCCCTACACTTTCCTGGCAGCTCAGTCAAACATTCCTTTGGTACCTAGTGAACTGTACCAGTTCCTGTTAGCTACCATTTTCTTGTCAAGGTGTTGTTTACAACGGCAAATAGCTAAACTTTTATAGTTTTGCCTGTAAGGTAGTTCCCCCGGGGAATCCCCTACACTTTCCTGGCAGCTCGGTCAAACATTCCTTTGGTACCTAGTGAATTCATCAATATTGTGCCAGTTCCTGTTAGCTACCATTATTCATTAGCTCCACTGAAATAGCATGTCTAAAGAGAACTGAGTATACATGAATCTACCAGTGACAATTTCAAACGGGGTGCATGGCTGCACTTTTACACTGTATTAGGGATGTTTGACGGACAAGTGCAGGGGAGTATAGCTAACAGGAAACTGCCCGGGAAAATCTATCCCCATGTCTCATTTGGCTGTCCAGTTAAGTATCGCCCTGTGGTTCATTCCATCAAAGATATTCTCTCTGATTAGAGATTTACACTGGAAAGCGATTATGGACATATTATACTGACATATTATTCGGAGCTGTATAATGTGAAAGTTACATTCTTATAGCTAAGTATGAGCATAACTAGCACTACAAGTAGCTATGTTTTTAGTAGTTCCCTAGCATATAACAGTGTTCTCTGGTGTTATTCCGACTCAATAGTTGACCCGGGAGAGGTCAATAGTGTGGATTATGCCGACAAGCACTGAGGCATCTCCGATTCCACTCTCCCACACATTGTTGGCAGGATTAGCAGGATCAACGACACGAGGACGGGCTGGCAGGAGATTGCTGTACTCTGCCAACTTATAACAGTCCTCCCAATAGACACTGATCAAAGAAACAAGAAAGAGTAACTAATAGGGGGGTGTAAAATACTTACTCTAATAAAGGAGTCTTCACCAATGACATTAGTTCTGTAGTGACCCTATAAAAAAAGTAATATAATCTGCTCATAGATAGGGAACTAAAAACTTACTCTCTGGGTCCAGCTCCATAATACCGCCTGTTAGCAGTTTCATAGGCCTTCACAACCAGGAGAGACATCAGGTATGATGACGGTCTCCCAGGCTTGTCATCACCAAAATATTTATTCCTCCAGGCTTTAGCTCGGCGGATGTACTCTTTCGCCTTGAATCAATAAAAAAAATTGTTTAATTCTTAGACAGTAAAATTAAACTTTAATAATATACCTGACTATCCACTCTATTAAAAAATTCTATTTGCCATTTTGAGGCACAAACAGTGAATCTGAAAAGTTCAACATTGGTCAACAATCTCAGTCATAACATACGGGTTATAGCTACTATCACTCACATTTTACGCTTCTCTCTGGATAAAGGCACTAGGAACTGATAGAACTCTCTCGGATTGCTCCAGAAAGGACTGACTAATAGGTCTACACTCAGATTCACTCCTTGGTATGAACATTTGAATTGGACCGATCGATTGTTATAACCTGGTGTGTAGCTCGTAATTCCAAATTCCTTTTCTATAAACTCTTTCAGTTGCGAAGTCCAGTTGCCAAAGCCATTATATAAACGCACAGCTTCAGCAGTGATATCTGTGGAGAGGCAAGTAAATATCTGCAAATATGCTGCATTTCTGGAAGTTCTAGCTACAGCTAATTATAAGTAAAATTATGACACTACCGACCCCTCTGAGCTCTTAAGTTTCAAGAGTCTGAGGAGTCATATTTAGAAAACAGCGATACACTCAGAACATACATATTCCTACAAACTGACTACTAAATAGCTACCTGTGCTAGCGCTTACACGCTTATACATTACCTCTGGAATAAAGAACCAAGTCAATGTCATAGTGGCCTGGTACAACAGTACCATGTCCCAGAGACCCAGCTTTCACTATCTCACTAATGTTGAAGTTCCTGAAACGAGTCTGCAAACGGTTAATCCCAAGAAAAGTGTGACCCTGATAGACTTACTTCCAGTCGTGAAACAATCTGATGTACAGCTGCCTTTGGCTTGGTAAGGTCCTCTGTCAACAAAGGATGGACCTACAACACAGCAGCAATAGCAGAGAGAACCTACCCATTATCCTGTAGTTGGCCCCACTCCCTTTTTTATCAGCAAAACCCCTCAAATGTGCAGTTGTGACTTTAGACTAGAAATGCTGCCGCTTTTAAGGACTGGTCACAGAACAACTCAGTTGATTTCACTTAGCTAACTGCTGACTCTCTACCCAGAATGGGAGTTATTCCCCCAGAGCTTGAGTTAGCAGTAATCAGCAGTATTCATGCAACACTGATGTCATCTTTTCCCCAAGAGTGCTTCCCAATTTCATTAGAAATTATATTCATGGTTGTTACACACAGTGTTCATGCTAATTCATGTAGCTAACACTTTTATCTTCTAGCATTGTTAACCTTCGGCGCGCATGCGCAGCGAGGGTTACAGTAGTCGTTCTGTCCGTCTGTCTGTGTGTCCGCGTGAGTTCTAGCACTACAGGCTACGAGGCGGCCAATGAGTGGCACCAACGGGTTGTGAACGACGAGAAGATTGATACCAATGTGGCGATTTTCCAGAAACGACTGCGTTCCAGAGATATGGCGTGAAAACAAGCGAAAAAGCTTACGCGAGCGATTCATCGCGCACGCGCGTATGTGGGTGTATCGTTTTGCCTGAGCATCAGACGCGAGCGATCCATCGCGCACGCGCGTATGTCGTTTGCCGGAGCATGCGCATCTGCTAGATTCCGCGTGGTTATTTTAGTTGACCTTGGACGGACGAGCAAGAGTTTCTCTCCTCAGTCATTGTTGATCTCTGTTCTCGATGGACAACAAATTGAGCAAGGTATGTCCGCAATGTTCATAATCGTACTGGGCTTACCGCGACCTGATCCGCTCGCTCTGTGTACCTTGGCTTTGGGGCTCAGAAAGTCACAACGTATCGACTCCCGCATTCTATCTACTACGTGTCAGACTCGCGACGTGAGCAGTATCGCGTATGCGCAGTTCGCCGAGGGTTTGCACTTCAGTGCTTTTCAATATGAATGTACCCAAGTGAACTAGCTCTTACTCATCAAGTTTTAAGCCATTGAATTATTAACATTCGACAGTATTTATATATATATAGAAATTAAGACACGGCTACACCAACACTGTTCTCTATATGTGATTGTCATCGTACTCAGTAAGAGGTAAGGCAAGTTCTAGACTAGGCAGTGTCAGCTCCATCCCCTCCCTCCCCACCAGCCAATACGACTCAATGGGCCTCCTTGCGGACCACATGGTGTAGTCAGGACACCTCTCAAACTGAAACTGTCCCGCCGAGGCCAGCAGCAATGTTACTAAAACGAGGCAGAGGCTTTTTGCAGTCCTTGCGTATTCCATGGTGTATATATAATGACACCCATTATGAGGACACCTTTCTTACATAAGAACATCTTTTCTCTCCACTGGAGTTTAACCGTAGGTTAAACATAGTTAACGAGGAGAGCCAGACCCACGGCGCCGGGGCGCATCGAGGACGAACCATGCGCATGCGCACGGGCTATGGGCCGCACGCATGCGCACGAAGAGACCGCGTGGTCAGGTGTCAGTTTGCTGACTTCGGTCCGTTAGCTTGTGCTAGCTCAGACTCTCCATCCCACCGTCCCCTAGCCAAACACCGAGAAGCAGGTGTTATACTCTCCACCAGTCGTGGTGTGATATCCAGGCACTGGCATCACGGGCATTCGAAAGGGGGGACTCGCCCCTAATTGCAGCATAGGGGCTCACAGCTATGCTCCCCCAGCATCAGGCCGCATGCCGTGGGAGTGTCCCGCAGCCTAAACACGTGCTCCGCCCGCAAGGTCGCGTGAGGTCACACGGTTAGCCCATGACCAGCATAGCAGCCTCACGAGCCTGCTCGAACCAGCACATGGCACCACGTGAGATCACGTGGCCGGGGCAGGTATCCAGTGCTATTCACAAAATCCATGGTGCCAGAGAAAAAGATGGGTAGCTCTGGACAGCTGTTTCGGGCCTCATCAGCAGAGCATACCACAACTTCTCTCTCTGGCACCACGAGTTTATAAAGGCTGACATGAGCGCAGCACTTATGTGGTTCTGAACTAATGAGATTCATCCCCACAAGGCTTTGCCACTGGTATAATTATATATACGTGCTGCTGACCATGCCCAGACATTCGTGGTTTGGAGCCTAGGCTCTTCCCCACTCCTGCTGGTCAAGGAGCCAAAACCTGAATTCAAAATACTGGCACAATGCATGTTTGTGACATGGCTTTGAATAGCGTAACAAAACAATAATTGCTCAGACTTTTGTGTGTTTAGCTACACAAGCATGAAATGAAAACATCTTAAGTAGCTACACAGCAGTTTTTATAGACAAAACATCAATTGTGTATATACAAGTGTAGAAATAACTACCACATGCAGCTATATAGACTCTACCTGACTTTCAGTTCATCTTGTGTAATTACTAGGTGGACAAAAGCAATCTGTGTTCGTAGCTACTCTATATTTGGCAAGTTATTTATAGCTAACTGAGTCAAAATAAGTGAAATGGTTCACTGTTACTATTCCTTCCTGCCCTCCTGCATGACACCACCCTCAGTAGCTGCCCTTCCTCCATCTTCTCCGCATGATGTTTCTGCAGTGAACGGGTTAAATCCAATTTCCAAATAACCAGCTATTCCCTCGATAATCTTTGAGCCATTGTTGTACAATGTCTTGAAAGAAGGTCTCTCGTCTGGCACAGCCTCCCAGCAAGTGAGCATCATCGTGTAACTACATATTAGGAGGAAAATAATTACCCATACTCAGCCTCCTCCAAAGCAAGTACATACATTTTGTCTGAACATGCAGAGTTGTATGGCTTTGGCAATCTCTCTCCTTTCTCCAACATCTGCACCAGAGTGGCGGGATTAGTCCCGGGATAGGGGGACTTACCCCCACTGAACACCTCCCACATAGTGACCCCATACGACCACTGTTTGTTTTAGGGAGTGAGTCTTGCTTCATGTACGCAAACACAAAGTGCCTACCACATCACTTTTCTCAGAGAAGTGTCCATCGCTGAGGCTCTCTGGGGCCATCCACTTGACGGGGAGTTTGGCCATCTCTCCATCCACTCCCTCTCTATAGTAGTTTCTCTGAAACACGTCCTCAGACAGACCAAAGTCGGATATCTTTATCACAAAGTGGGAATCAATCCTTTATGGGGTGGGGAGAAGTGGTATTAGTTAGTGTGACTGTGTACACCAACATCAGACATTAGTCACTTCAACTGTATGCATGGGTCAATAGAAGCAACTTTGGTGGGGAAGTTTTGGTTTTCAGCAAGTCTCTTATGGCTCTCCATTGCTGGTGGTAAAATAATTTCAGAGTGCCCTATACTGACACTACTGGCCCACAGTCGTGTAGCTACACAAGAGTCAAACCCCAGTTACCTAGTTTCAGTATCAATCGCTATTGTTACATCTCTCACATGCAGTTTCTTGCAGCCAAGTCTCTGTGGACATACTTCTCAGCAGCCAGATACTCCATACCACTAGCTATCTGGTTACACATTACCATCAGTCGCTTCATAACTTCTTGCACCTACATGGAGTGAAATAGATTTTTAAAGATTCTTCTCATTAAGTATAGTCCCACCTCGTCATTCATATACTCTTCTTCTGTCAATACAAGGTTGCTACGCTCTTTTTTTAGGTAGTCAAGTAGGCTACCATTAGCCATGTATGGCATTACAATATAAGGGGCAGACCCTGCATCAAGGCATACTCCAATGAGCCCCATTACGTGGGGATGCTTGAATCGACTCATCTTCAGACTCTCCTCTACAAATTTCTCCACTTCCTGATCGCTAAAGTTACCTATAATGAAACGATGTGATTAATAAGTCTATTTTCTCTTGGACGACAAACCTCTTAGTGTCTTAACTGCAACCACACGACTAAACCTCCCTCTAGGACCCAGCCTAGCTCTGTAGACAACACCAAACTCCCCTGAAATGACAAGGTTTACAGATGCACAACAAGAGATATATTAATACCTTGTCCAATGATATCAAGCTGCAATATTTGTTCACTTGGAATACAAAACTTTCCGCTCATAAGCTCTCGCAAATACAATGAGTTTAGCCGACTTCTGCCAAGTTGTTGGACATTTTTTGCACATTCAGGGTCTTTTATCTCTATCGAACAAAACCCTTATCAAACATGAGAGAAAATTAACAATCACCTGACCATCATATAAGTTATCATTTTCAGTTGTAGTAGTGTCTTTTCGTCCAACAGGAATATTTTCTGGTCTGTTTGCAATGAATTACACAAAAATGATAACAAATAAAATCACTTTACCTGGCAATATCATTAATCCTCTTTCTCTGCTTTCTCTTGATGTACAATTTTGATAAAAGTAAAACTGCTAGTGCAGCAGTTACTACGCACAGAATTGCTGCTATAGTTCCTCCTACTATCACACCTTGAGACCCTGAAAAGATTATTGATCAAAACAAAATTAATAGCTAACATAAAACTGAAAGAGACACTTGGAATTGGGAATGGATTTTTAGTGCTTAAAAATATGTTTACACTGAAAAGGCACACAAAGCAGGCTTCCAATGCCCGTTTCCTATTGATCAGTCACACAAACATGTAGGGGCCCATCATAGCTTTGTGTATAATAATTTTAACCTATCACTAGAGTTGGAGTTGGAATTGTAGTTGGAGTTGGAGTTGGAGTTTGAGTTGGAGACTGAGATGGGGAATAATCCAGTTTCAGGTCACCGATGGCGTAGTAGCCATAACCATTGTACCGTTTGAAACCATACATAGACACACTCATTTTTGCAGAGTCCATTTCGTGATACACTGTATGTTGCCCTTCGCTTACGTTTACATTCCTGGCAACATAGCCACAAACAAATGTCTCATTTTGGCAGGGAATATGAGTCCAGTTAGCATCACCCTGGTGCATTCCATCAACAAATATTCTCTCCGGTTCAAGATACTCAGGAGTAACAAATATCGTAATTACATTGGAAAATTCTTCTGGAGCAACCACTGCGAATTTGTTGCTATAATGATCAATTGGAGGAATATTCATCATGAACGGATCACTGCTGGTATTGTCGGCACCACTACCTGAAGCAAATTGGGCGACTAACACAGGGTTGTTAGAGTCAATACTGCAGTATGCATTTCCTGGTACTGTCACTACTTCGTGGTTTTTAGCGAACTCAGAGAGAGTTATCACTCTTATTACTGAGGAAGTGGAACATACCATTGTCGTGATAGTTAAGGGAATGTGAGAAACTATTACGTATATGTCTGGAGCAGTTCTTTCGAAGAGTGGTGCAGTTAGAAACTGTTTCCCCCACAGTGCTGTGTTGGGGAGTTGCTCAATAAGGTGATCACAGTGACCAACACCACCATGTGGAATACTTTTGCATTGGTGACCAGAGAAAAAAGAAATTGGTTTGTTTGAGACAACTTTTGTTCCTGTCACACCACGGGTATCACTGTGCATGTATGTTTCCATCTCATTAAGATATATTGTCAAGGATCCTGTTTTAACTACAGTGTTATTTTCACATCCGACAATAAGTATGTAATGTGTATTAGACTTTACATAACCATCAAAACTCACTCCATAGTACTCATATTCCGTTACGTCCTTCTGCGGATAACATGGTAGTGCCGCAAACATACCTGAGGTTCCTTCTTTGTAACTTTGCCCGAACACTAAAATTGGTTGATCATTTGCAGATGTTACTTTGATTCCCTTATACCTTTGCTCGGCATTTTGTACCTCAAAATCAATGGGTAGCTCAACGTCAATTGTTTGATTGTTTCTAACAGTGTGACTATCATGGAATCCTCTGAGAGTATCAATGGAAAATTCAATTGCATTAGCTTCAGTATTTGACACAAACAATTTCAGGAACTGGGGGCTATTTTCATAGGTCTTCGGAAAACCTATGTAGACTTTATTACCTATACACATGAGCAGTTGTAAAGGCAACAACAATACAGAATTTATATATACCTTTGCCATGAATTTGAGTCCATAACACTCCAAAAATCACTATTACATGAAGCAACTGCATCTCTCTAAGAAACTTCTCTGAGACACTCGCAGTATGAATTGACTGTGTAGGCAGCTTTAAGTAAAAGATAACTGTTTACTTGACAGACAATAATGTATATATGAGCAAACATTATCAAAGCCATGAGACCCACACCCACCCCCAAACAGGGTTAGCAGCTACAAGAAATCCCAATCATTAACCCTCGCCTGCGCGCATGCGCAGCAAGGGTTATTGCAGTCGGTCTGTACGTCTGTGTGTACGTGTGTGTGTGCGTGTCCGCCCGTCTGCCAGATTTGCTGGTCTGCCTGTATTAATGGTACAGTTGCGTAGGATCGAGATTGCTGGAAGTGAGAGCAGCACACGTCCCAGTGAATCCGTTCAGTGAAGGAGTCAGTGTAGCAAGTAGCCATTGGCTGCTAAAAAATGAGTAAAGTGGTGAGGGTTATGTACTGTGAAATGCTTTTCATTATTATAAGCATTAATTTAGTCAAACTTCACCTTTGCAGTACAGTAGTGAGTCATACAGTGAATGAGAGGAGTGTTCTGAGAAGGATGGTGATGGAACTCCTATACTCTAATTATACCCTCGTTCTCCTTGGTACAGTGGGTGAGAAACAGAGTATGCAACAATCTGCTGCTAAAATGAGTGAACTTTACTGATAACACTTATCAAGTTAAGCCATTGCCATACTTTCTTGGAATTCATTACACTGTATGTTGCATCTACATTACAAAAAGACATACATCAACAGTGTTCTCTATAATTATGTGGGTGTCGTCATACTCAGTAAGAGGCAAGGCAAGTTCTAGACTAGGCAGTGTCAGCTCCATCCCCTCCCTCCCCACCAGCCAATGCGACTCAATGGCCCCCCCTGGCCACCAACGTGGAATTCTCGCTTATACTGGAGGGATTCCAGCGCTAGCAGGCGGGATGTTGGGTGAAGGTAGTAATATTGGGACTGTCCCGGACGGTTGGCAGGTATGCTGACTGAGCAAGCGGACCCGCTAGAGGTAAGCCTATTCCAGACGGACTCAAAAAACTGCTTGCCCGTCAAAACAACCTCGTGGCATCTTGCTATGCGCATGCATGCCCGGGCAAAACACTGACGCGCTCCAGCGTATCCAGCTGGCCAGCGGGGGCGCGTACGCTTGTTTTCAGTTTCACGCCATATCTTTGGAAACTCGCCACATTGTTCTCGTTGTTCTGAAACCGATGGTGCCACTCATTGGCCACCTCGTAGCCCGTAGTGCCAGAATATAATAGCAGTAGGCAGACACAGGGCAGACCACGTAACGTAACCCTCGCTGCGCATGCGCGCAAGGGTTAATTACACTTCCATCCCGTAAACAGGGTTTGAGGACACCAGCGATGTTTGTGACTCTCAGTCTGGGTAAGTAGGTAATGCATGGGATCTTGGTAGGCTACTTTTTGGGTCCAGTTCCACTGGCAACCAACAAAATTGAAGTAAGCTATTTGTTGTTTTCCATAAAGGTGAACATGTTTTTAACCCTCGGCGTGCATGCGCAGCGAGGGTTACAGTAGTCGTTCTGTCCGTCTGTCTGCGTGTCCGCGTGAGTTCTAGCACTACAGGCTGCGAGGCGGCCAATGAGTGGCACCAACGGGTTGTGAACGACGATAAGATTGATATTAATGTGGCGATTTTCCCGAAACACTGCGTTCCAGAGATATGGCGTGAAAACTAGCGAAAAAGCTTACGCGAGCGATTCATGGCGCACGCGCGTATGTGGGTGTATCGTTTTGCCTGAGCATCAGACGCGAGCGATCCATCGCGCACGCGCGTATGTCGTTTGGCGGAGCATGCGCATCCGCTAGATTCCGCGTGGTTATTTTAGTTGACCTTGGACGGACGAGCAAAAGTTTCTCTCCTCGGTCATTGTTGATCTCTGTTCTCGATGAACAACAAATTGAGCAAGATATGTCCGCAATGTTCATAATCGTACTGGGCTTACCGCGACCTGATCCGCTCGCTCTGTGTACCTTTGGGGCTCAGAAAGTCACAACGAATGGCATGTATCGACTCCCGCATGCTATCTACTACTGTAGCTAGCCCGTGTCAGACTCGCGACGTGAGCAGTATATATCGCGTATGCGCAGTTCGCCGAGGGTTTGCTTTTCATTAACCCTCGGCGCGCATGCGCAGCGAGGGTGACGTTAGTTGGTTTGTCTGTCTGTCTGTGTGTGTGTCGACGCTTATTCTGGCACTACAGGCCACGAGGTGGCTAATGAGCGATACCAACGGCTTCAGAACTACGCGAACCTGAAAATTTATTAGGCGATTTTCCTGAAACGACTGCGTTCGAGAGATATGCCGTGAAAACAAGCGAAAAAGCCAATATGCATAATCGCACTGGGCTTACCGCGACCTGATCCGCTCGCTCTGTGTTCCTTGGGCGCTCAGGAAGTCACAACCAATGGCATGTCATGGTCATGCTATATACTACTGTCTCTCCGCGGGCTACTAGCGGAAGACCACGAGTAAACGCAAATAGCCGGCCCAGCCCATCAGTATCGCGCATGCGCAGTTCGCCGAGGGTTTGCACTTTCATTAACCCTCGGCGCGCATGCGCAGCGAGGGTTACGGTAGTTGTCCTGTAAGTGTGTCTGTCTGTCTGTCTGTCTGTTACCACGTTTTCTGCCACCGCGCGCACGAAATCAGGTAAATAGCGATATGATCGGGTTCAGTGCTACACTGGGTTGATTTTGAAAAAGGCGATTTTCGTAAAACTACTGCGTTCTAAAGTTATGGCGTGAAAACCAAGTGAACAAGCCAATATGTAAATTAGCACAGGCTTACCTCGACCGCGTCCGTTCGCTCTGTGTGTCTTGAAGGCACAACAAGTCATAACGAAGGGCATGTATCGACTCCCGCATGCTATTTACTACTGTAGCTAGCCCGTGTCAGACTCTCCGCGAGTTACTAGCGGGATACCACGAATAAAGGCATAAAAAGCCCAGCCCATCAATTAGTGGTACCGCACATGCGCAGTTCGCCGAGGGTTTGCACTTTAGTGCTTTTCATTTCACTAGTGTTGGTGTTACATCTTCAAAACTGATTGTTTTGGATCATGCATACAACTGATGGCAACTGATATGGGGAGGCAAGGCCACATCACTAGGCAAAACAGTTTACTAAAAGAGGCAAGTCACTACGGTAGATCGTTGAGCTCTTCCACGGTGGTCACTGAACAACGCCATTTTAACTCAGCATCGGTGAGCCGTATGCGCCGAGTAGGGCGTGCCGTGCGCGCGCATTACTATAGTCTCGTGCGTGAACCAGGTCTACGAGACTAAGCCAGGATCAGGATGCCTGCAGAGGAACTCTTATCCTCCAGTGCCTTCTGTAAGTCAGTTTGTACAACACAAGCCCTAGAAATCAAAGGCACCGCACGCAGTGTATGCGCACTAAGACAACTTATTAGTATGCATGCCGTGGTGTATGGTGTGCTGACTCAGCCATACACTCACATGTGGTGTATGAGCTCTCATACACCATGGCATGCATACTAATAAGTTTTCTTAGTGCGCATTCCTGTGGTACAAATTGGTTACACTACACCCACTCGACGGTTTAGTGTATACACTACTCGTGCTGCGCACTCGTAGTGTATGCCGTCTCGTGGGCATAGTGTAACCTATATATACACATTTTTAACTGGCTAGCTTGCGTTTTGCTGTTGATTTGTACGAGGAGCAACTTGGCAGTGTGCGCCGTGTTACGCGGGCCTTGCCACGCGCCTGCCCCCCGGTTATAGCTATTATTAACCCTCGGCGCTTTCTATGCCTTAGCTCTGTGACTGACACTGTTTTGTTTGTGTGTATGGCGTGGGAGACCCTCTGACGGGTGTGGGGTGCCTACCGGGGATTTCGAGCAACAGGCAGCTGCTAGACGCAGACACGTGACGTCTGTATCGTGGACGTCACGCACGGTGGGATGGGTAGCCCCTTTGGTTCGTGCTGCCGACAGCGCTGTCTTTGCCTCTCACCAGACTTGCCGTTCTCACCTAAACCCCGGACTATGTCTCTCAATGTTCCATTATTTTTTTTTTGTGTGCGTGTTGTGTTACAACTCCTGTAAACCCAGGGTATGTTGATGATTGATTGGTAGTTAACCCTCGGCGCGCATGCGCAGCGAGGGTTACTCTATATAGTTAACCCTCGGCGCGCTTGCGCAGCGAGGGTTACGGTACTTGGTCGGTGTGTCTGTGTGTCAGTCTAGTCTGTGTGTCCGTTCACGTTTTCTGCCACTAGACACAACAACATCGCCAAAACTCTACGGGTTCGGCGCTACATTTGCTTGATTTTAAAACTGCCGATTTTCGTAAAATCAAAAGTTATGGCGTGAAAAGCAAGTCAACAAGCCAATATGCAAATTAGCACGGGCTATGTGCTTGATCTGCGTACCTTGGAGGCACAAGACGGCACAACGAAGGGCGTGTATCGACTCCCGCATGCTATCTACTACTGTAGCTAGCCCGTGTCAGACTCTCCGTGTGCTACAAGCCGGAGACCACGAGTAAACGCTACGGCCCAGCCCATCAATTAGCGGTATCGCGCAAGCACAGTTCGCCGAGGGTTTGCGCTTCAGTGCTTTTTAACCCTCGGCGGCGCGCATGCGCAGCGAGGGTTACGGTAGTCGTTCTCCGTGCCTGTCTGTCTGTCTGTCTGTCTGTCTGTCTGTCTGTTACCACGTTTTTCTGCTACCACGCGCAACAAACAGGCCAAAAAGCTACACCAACGGGTTCAACGCTACACTGGCTTCATTTTAAAACTGGCGATTTTCGTAAAAGTACCGCGTTCAAAAGTTATGGCGTGAAAAAGCCAATATGCTAATAAGTATATACCATCACCATGGCTTACCTCGGCCGCTTTTGCCGTCAGGCACATTGCGGAGGATATAGCGAGAATACCGAACACTGCCTACGGTTCCAGCTAGGCAGCACGAGCAATGCACGATCGACGGGTGGTGAGCGAGCCGGCGGTTAGTGCGAGCGAGGAGGCAGAGGACCGGGAGAGAGAGCGAGACATGACAATGCCATGTGTTTATCGTAGTGCGCCACGAACCGCGTGCGTGATGAATGCGCGCGTGTGCTTGTGTGGCCACCAGGGCCTTGGTCTTGGCGTCATAGCCCCACTGTAGGACTCCACGCCGAGGGTTTAGCACTTCAGTGCCTTTCATTACCCTCGG